TAGGTCGTTTGAGCACGCGCGATCCATCTTTCAAATTAACGAAAGACGGGCTGGTATTACTTCTTCAGCTGTATCGCAGTATTAAAGCAAATGCTCATCTAATATTGTTGTATTTAAACGCTTTTCCATAACAGCAGCTCGTTTTAGCCTAAGTGTGATCCTTTCTTCAGTCAGATGAAATTTCAGTTCGATTTCGATCTCTTTCGCGAGTGCCTTATTTCCGCAAATCTGGTTCTTTTCCGTTCCATCGTCAACTTCTGTCGTATTTCCCACAGACAAATACGTTCTCGCTGACGTACTGCAACATTTTCGCTAGCGGCAGTAAATGGGCAACTGCTGAAATCACCACACCTCATAGGCAAATTCCTTTTCAGTGTCTGATTGAACGCCATTGAGAATTTTCTTCTGACGTCTAGACCTTCCTGTAAAGATGCCATTTTAAGCCCTGACATTGTTTCTAATCTTTTGGCAGTAAGATATGGCACCAACATTAAGATATAATCGAACAAACAATTGCATCTCCAGATGCTTTTGGACCGTCGTACGATGTGCTTCCAACGGTCACTTATGGGTATAACATATAATCCAACTGCAGTAGTAACTTCTTCCATCCATACTCTTTCCGCCGCTCAACAGACAAAGGCTGCGAGCCTTGCCATGGTGGTTTTTGCGCGCGTCAGGTCTAATTAAGTCCGTTGCAACTGCCAGGCTGTCTTTCGGCGAGTTGATGAGCATCGATCGATTTTCTGTGGTCGTTTTTGCCGGAGGAACCTTTTCCCCAGTGTGACACTCAAATTGTGCACTGCATCTATTTCAAATATTACAAGGTCGTTCGAAGGTATAACAGTAAAATAACTGTTCAAGCCTATCCTAGAAAGTGTTCTTTCCTTATTCATCTGTATTGTTCACAGGCGCGTGGGTGGTTATAACCCCTGTAGTCCATGATTTCGAGATCTTTATCCAACATTATCTTGGGCTAATTGCCACCCCCCATTCTTTTACAACGCCTTCGTAGACTGAGCAAAACCACACATCTTTTTCGGCCTTCCACCCGAATAATACATACGACGCATGGCCATCAGGATGGCAAATTTTTGGGATTTCATCTTTTTTAATAGCGTTTCTTGGAGGCATGCAATCGGTGCGTTTAGACTGTTCAAGGTTCTGGTGACAGCAGCTTGCTTATCTTCACTTTTAGTTAATGACAATTGAAGATGACAATATTTAGCTTCTTCCGTAGTCGAAGCAGTTCTACCGTAACCCTGAAAAGGGCCTTTGGGTTTGGACAAATAGACGGTTCGTAATGACAGTGTTTGCGAATCAGGAAATGCAGTGAGTAGCTGGTGTCCGGCCACCTACGCTATGTATCTGCTGTGACAAAGTAATCAAAAGAATCTGAACTGGATAATAACGTTCAACGCAATGTTGTATTCCTGACTTCTTTTAATGCGATCCTGTTGATGCCAACGGCTCATGTTGTTAGAATTTACTCTTGATTTTATGCCTCGCTATATGCAGCCATAATGGACAGATTTCTAACTCATTTTATGGTTCCCTCAAATGACCTTGAAAAAGATTTTTGATTAGGAGTTACATACCTTATTCTTTTATATTCTTGGTCGCAGATGTAAAATCCTTTTCTTTGTAACTGAATAATATCGCCCTTTTTCACGTCAGCCAATGCATGTTCGCCGACGAGCTCAAAGTTATGCTAAAACAGCATTAGTAACAATCCAGATTTTCTAAACAACCAGAAAAAATAACATTTACATCGAACAACCGAGTGCTGAAATGTCGGTTGCTTGTTGAAACTTCGTTGCATCTTCTGACTTAACTGAAGTTAGTGCAGACTGTAACAAACTTCTGTTAAGGAGAGAGTACATCGTTCATGCGTTCGGTCCTCATACTGAAATACAGCATAAAAGACGGTTTATTAATACAAAACGCAAAAAATATGATTCATTGGATGACTGACCAATGCCGACGTTCCAGCCCATATTTAACGCGCATTCTTCAGGGTAAGAAATTGGCAGTTTCGGTTTTTCGTTATCCGCGGCGGAGAGTAGGTTTAGAGCCAGAAGGCAGTGGCACAGTTGCTTTGTAGATTGCTTTGCAGGGGGCTGCGCGAATTTTTCATTATTAACGGCTAATTTTTTTCAAAAAAGAATTCATCTCATTGTCCTTCGGTGCAACCAGCCACAAAATAGCATGCTCGTTAACCTACGAATAACAGGGGCAGCATGGTGCCTTAGCGCAGTAACAGCAAAGCGTGCGAGACATACGACCATGCTGTCTGTTGCCTTCTGGCTCCAAACCTGTTAAACGCTGTGGACAACAAGAAAAACCTCTGAAGCTTTACCAACGTCCTGTTCTGAAGAACCTTCGTGAGACATGGGCTGAAACGTCGGTAGTGGTTAATCGCCCGATAGGTTATACTATTTTTTGCATTGTATGTTATTAAACCGTTTAAGCTGTTTAGCACCCTTTTGCGATTTTGTTAAAACAAGCTTATGAACAACTCACTGCAATATAATCACCATGAAAATAAAGTCAGCCTACAGTCGAAATAAAAAAATAGTTGAAACCTGGAGATGACAGACAGTCATCTTTCCGTCCTCATAAAGTAAGTAGCTGTATTTCGCATGCTTAACTTGTAAGCGTGATAGAAAACGGACTCTCATGCGAGGATTTTAGGACGTACCTTACTCAATGGGCATTGAAACATATGAGTAACCTACTCTTCAACTCAAACATAAACAGTTAGTACGCGGATAATAAGCATATAACATGAAAAACCATGATGAACAGAGCATAACCATTGTCGGTACCTGAATAGACGTGAATTAGCCACGGAAAATGGGAAATTTTTAACGCAATTTTAAACCCTGACTGGTCTAGTTGAATGATCTATTATCAAACTGCTCCAGCACAGCAGTCGAAAACACCAATTCTAGCAAGTGTTCAGCGATACCAGAAAACAAAACTGAAGAACTCCAATCCCTTGATACAGGTTGCAACTTGCGCTGAGGAAGCCAACTATTAGATGTCAGCCAATAAAAGAACACGGTCATATATCTCACAGCAATGACGGTATCGGTCTGCCATGCTTTGAGAGATGGTCGCGGCTCTCCAAATTGTCATCGGTTCCTCGATTCATTGCATTGGAGCAGTGACGTAAATTCTTTGCTCGAAGGAGTTAGTAGTCAACAAAACTTAAGCCACGGTTTATGACGGCTTTAAGATTCGATCCAATAGGCCTAGGATGAAGGTTTCACTACGCCACAATTTCCTCCCCTACATATGATGCTCCGTTCGGTTTTGCAAGGGCGTTTCGACCCGCAACCCGGGTATTTGCCAGTAACTCTGTCTCAGATAAAATATAGACAACGAAGCGAAGTACCCTGGAGTTGAAATTGACGTATTGCTTGAAATCCTCATCTTTTCCCAGAACAGGCTTCGTGATGATTTCATCGAAATGAGTCGTTACTACAGGAACCAACGAAGCTTCGTCTTCTGGTGATTCAACGAACGGCAGCCACGTGAATTTTAAAGTATTTTTGTAATCCTAAAACGCAAGTTTAGCCACTTTTCTACTCTACGCGATCTACTTTATTGTCAAGGCGCAGCACCAGCACAACGGAATCCACCTTTCCACTGTTGTCTCTGTGCATCTTTTGCACTTCAGCGTTTCCCCAGTTGATAAGAGTGACAATGTCTCTTTCATTCAACAGTGATGCGTCTTCATTTTCGATTAAAATCTCCTGCGTGAAATGCACAATCTTCTCAGCCATGTAATTGTTTTTCGGATGAAGTGGAACGCTTTTCTTTCCTACATCCGCACCAATGACTTTGACAGTAACCAGTTCGTTCTGCAGCAGAGCAGTGTACCGCGGCGCAACGGGATCAATCACCTAAACATAAAGTTCTGAATAAGTGCCATACACGCAAATACCACAGCAGCTATCTTGAAAAACGATTAACTACCTTCATGTGAGCAATACACTTACGTTGTATTGTTAATTTCGAAAATTAATTAATGTACTACCGTTTATTTTAAACATAAGGTCCCTTTTCACCGATGAAAACATTTTTCTCAGGAAAACTCCTGATAGCTTGCAAGTTCAGCGCTACATCAGCTGTCGATACATCCTGAAAATGAAGCAGTATTTCTGTCTGTCGAGATATACCCTGCGTTGTACTCAATTTAACTAGCCTACTGAAACATGACGGCATATATCAGAAATACTATAAGATCCTACAACAAGTCATTTTCTGATCTCAGAATAACCGTTGATAGATCCGATTTCATTTTAGATCATCAAACGTATTAGCGGTACAATATCTATAACGGACAGTCGCTATCATGAGATGCTACACAAATTTCAAGATTCATACGATTCACTCCCAGCATGAGAGCACATGCAGCAACTTCAAAGCGCATCCGATTCACGCTTAACGTTAGTACACCGTTCAGTTATGCCTATGTCATATTATTCTCGATAATTCAGCGAAACCCAGAAGCGCAATACAAGAACACATCCAGAAACTTGGTTATACTGAGTTTCGTAAAAAGCTTTTGAAACCGTAATTCTCTAGATCAGCAACAGCAAATTTCATTTATTTCTGAATAGCAGAAAATTCTCTGTGCTGGAAGCAACAAGCTACGTCTCCACCAAATAAGCACTGACGAACTAAACTCTAGTATCTGCCTAAGTTTACATTATTATATCTTTAAAAGTTGATATACTTCGTAAAATTACTTCATGACTGACTGTGGCACATAATACCGTTAATTCACATTGTGTAGCAATTGCCCTACGGTTAATTTTACCGCTACGACATGTACAATCACCGATGATCGAGTTTACATTTATAGTTTTGCCAACAACAAACGACATCTATAAGTTACATGTTGTTCACCAGATTTCGCCATGTTGTCATGTGGCTAACGGGTGAAATTAATAAGAAGGCAAATGCAACTAAAATCGATGTCTTGTAGATAAGGCAGGAAACAATGTTAACTAAAATATAATTGAGTAACAAGAAAACAACTGCAACCGCGATCAAACTGAAAGCAAGCACAAAGTTGAGTTTTCAACTCAGTGCGGCAATATGCTAAATACACAGGTGTCGTTTCAACATGAATGCCCAAGTTTGATAGACAGCATGACAATAGAAATATCTCAAAATTTTACCGTGGCAACAAAAGAGCGGATCGGAACAAGGTCGACTGCTCGCACTGGCTGAAACATTTGCAAGAAGTCGCACTATCACGTCATTGTCGACATCAAAGTTTACAGTCTCGAATATGAACAAATATTGCCTTGATTAGCTTGAAGAGCACAGTTTAGTAGTAGTTTTACATATCTTAGCGAGGGTAAACTTTGT